TAAAGGCAAGTTGACAATAGACGCGAGGGGCTCGAGCCCTCGTGAAACGCAGTGTCGCATTGCATTCCACCCTGGTTGCAATCCCTCCCTTCTTTTATATTAGCCACATACCTAAAGTCCAGGATGGCTATTACGCTTCTTTGAACGCGTCAAGATTGTTACTCTCAGCCTGGCAAACTCAGCCACTCGTTTAACAAACACCAAGCAACAATAAGCATATTCGATCGAGCACAAAGTCGCGAAAACTCGATCGTGGAATCAAGCCCAATTAACCGTGTTTCGTTCGAGGGCGATCACGACGAGATAATTCCATCTATGGAAGATGGAGGTGGAAAGAGAACGCGAACGCGTTGCATAATTCCATTCCGTGTACTCGGATGTTCAAAGGGATCGAATACACGCGAGAAGGAAGTCGATTATGCACGATCGAGCGGACGATTAAGCGACAAGGGGTGTTTTATTTAACGTTGAGGGCGAAACGGAAGTAATTACGACTCCTCGAGGCGCGAAGGGAGAGGAGGTCCTGGGAGGATGGGGTGCGGTGGTTACGAGGCCACGAGGCTTGAAAACCAATGGAATCCAAGAGTATACAGGAGGAAGAGAGGATGAGAGAGAGGGAGAGAGAGGGAAGATAAAGAGAGAAGTTTGGTCGAGCTGATCGAGCAGGTGGTTAGACAACTTGACCAAGGGAACGCAAACTGGAGGCATTTCGTTAATTAAAGGTACCGATTAAAATCGTATCAGCTAGGTATCGTGTTAAGGTTAATTAAGGTGCTTACTTGGGGGGGAGGGAGGAGGTGAAGTTGGTTGCTTCGTCTATTTGCCTAAGACGATGATCCCTATAGATCTTAGGCGGAGATTAATGTTGTGTCATAGAGATGTTTGGATTGAGTAATGCGTGATACGGTTGACGGGCTTTCTCTTTTAGGGATTTGAGGGGATGAGAAGGGGTTGTAGGATTGATTAACGAGCGGGATTATATATGCTTGTAACGATTCAAATTCAACGTAGTAAAAATACGAATTCTTCGATAACTCGAATTTTTCCACGAAAGTGTAATTTTTTAGCATTGAAATTAACGTGATTATCAAATATAACAAATGTAATTAGAGAGGAGTGATTAATAATACGAAGATTTAAAATTAAATGGATTCGGAATATATTCGATTCACTATCCATCCCTCTCGTCCATTATCTCAACAACCCTCTCATCAAGAAACTAACCACTTTAACTCTTTTATTATTAGCTTATATATATATATATATTTGTGCCCCATTTTTGGCAGACATTTACGTAATGTATACCGTCTATCTCCTCCCAAAGCTGTAATATAATAAATCTATTAATCGCATTCATCCCAATCATATATTACTTACGCACTAAAAAATACGATTCTTAAACTATCCTATTTAAAAAGAAAAGAAAAAGACAAAAACTTCGAATAATTCGAAAGAGAAGGTCCTCTCGGTGCGTAAAGAAAGGGTTAATTTCTTTTCGTTCCGCTTTATTGACAGCGGGTATCGCGCGGTAATTCGCGGCTAATGCGCGAAATTGAATCGTCTGTAATGCGGGAAAAACCGCAGCGTACACCGACCGCGTAATTTCGTTGCGAAAATGAGCGAGGGGGGGGGGAGGAGGAGGTTTTTAACTCGTTTACCCCATTGCGGTTCTAACGAGGCCACGTGGTGCCTCGGATAGCGCTCGTTTCGCCGCGAATCCGCGCCGAAACGGAGCCGTATTCGACGATGGAGGCCCGATTGTTTGGCAAATGACGTTACGAGCGAATCGAGCGTACCCCCGGGGACGCGAAAACCGCCTTTGATCCTGCGAATTTCACTCCGACCGCAAACGTCACCGCGCGCCCGCGTCGATTCCATTCGATCCGCTTTGTAGCCTTCGAATCGTTGCAACAGATTTGTCACGGTGTCTTCGTCGAGCGAGGGAGTTTTCAACTTCTGCGAAACAGAAGGGGGCTAGAGGGGAGGAGTTATTAACGATCGTGGCGTGTGCTGTTTCGCGCATAGAAAATTTAACGCTTTTCAGCTACGATTCAGGTAGCTGGGTGGTTATTTCCTGCCGGCTTGTAATTCGCGAGAGCGTTTGAATTAACAAACAGGGAAAATATTGTTTCGAGGAAATTTTTGAATAAAGCAGAAATTTTTTTAAGTATTTATGAAAATCCCGGATTCGCGATGTAGACATTTGTTTTCCTTGTTATCGTGCAGTTTTAAAATTTTTATAATTCTTGCAATTACAGATTTTACGCAGGTTTTTTTTTTGCAGTGCAATGCGTATTGATTTTTGTTGCGACTGATTTTTAATTTTCATCTCTATTTGTCTTTCTTCATGGTGAACAATTTTTTTTTAACTGTTAAAAGTTTCCTTTTTTAATGGATGAAGAACGTTATGACACGAAAAAGATGGAAATGGAATTTTCTAGTAACATTGATGTCTAGGCGGGGTTCAACGATCTATGGTAGTAATGGCCTTGAAACTGGATTGAAATGGCCTTGAAATTGGATTGAAATGACCTTGAACTCTGAGATGCACGTTTAATAAACGGAAACATGAATCAAAGGGCCTCGTTACAACGCATGCATCCCTTGTGGTTATATTAATGGATGTCATCACTTAACGCTTAAATTTATGCACGGCTACGCTGTATCGGTACCGTGTACTACATTCGTTACTAGGAAGATTTATCACCAGTGCTACGGCATAATTTATCCTCGTGGTATCGTGAGTATAATACCGTTTTTCTCTTTTCCTCTCTCTAAAATTTCCTCAGAACTTTTCTTCAGACAATTCTCACGTGTTTTTTTATAAATTAAAAAACATCCAAGTGCAAAATTCGTTCATTTACCAAACATATTTACGCAACATTATTCCGCGTGGAGTAATTAAATATAAATTCGAATTTGCGTCCAATTTGGTTAAAAGTGAATTTAAATAATCCCCACGGGGAAGAGAATCTGTATTTCCTCGTTGCATTGCCCGCAGATTTATATATATATATACATAAAATAAACTATTAAAAATCTTGCTAAATCCTGTATCTCATTGTTACAGGTAACAGAGTAGCGTCTTCGAGTCGATATTTAATTCACCTTTCTTTCTCGTCTTTTTGAGAAAAAGAAAAAGAAGAAAGAAGAAACAGTCGTCATACTTCTATTATACTTCTCTGATATTTCACACGAACGTGATATTCTTCACGATTCACCTTTACAATTGAATTATCAAACGAACGATTCCTCCACTTCCGTTGAATAAAAGAAAGAAAAAATATGACGTATTTACGTATAATTTCGCGAGCAAACACGAAACGGATTGGAATAAATTAATACATGTATAAAACGATTTAAATTAAACCCATTGGATGAGAGAGGAAGGATATAAAAGAGTGGAATACATTCATTACGTTTGCTAATTAATCAGGTATGTACTCGTGAGGTGGAAAAAGATAGACGGAAAAGAAAGGGCGAAATTTTTTCTGAACACCCTTGTGCCACATCGGTCCAATTGACACAATTATAAACGCTATATAAGCGAGAAATAACACCAGCAACGATGGGAATATGTATCGCACACAATTAATTAGGTATCAAAGTGCGTAGCTATTATTCGAAGTTGGTTTTTCGGTTAATTATTTACCCCCGAGATCGTGGCGAATGAAGCTACGCTAGGAAGCCACAGGTTGTCGTCGTTCGTAATTTCTCGCGCTGATTTTTACGGATATTGAATCAATGCATCGAGATTAATGACGCGTGGAAGATTAGGCGAGAAAGTTTGGTAGAAAAAGATTTTTGAGAAATGAAAAACAACTCGTGGGGGAATGAATATTATACGAGTATCTGTAATTTTTCAATTCGGTTAGATTTTTATTAAAAAAGTCATATCTTTTGACTGTGATTTAATAATTGTTTTTTAAAAACAATTTAACAATTTTTGACTCAATATAAAAATCATCCTCTGCCTGGTTATAATTTCTTCCTATATTCTTATAAAATCTTCTTATAAAAATATTGTTTTTACGATTGAAAAAGTGAAATAATACAAGAGAAGTAAATTTGATTCGCGTATCCAAGAAATTGCAATGACCTTGAATGATTTAATGTTGAGAGAGAGAGAGAGAGAGAATTTGAAACTGAAATTGGAAACACAGGCGAGGAAATTATAAACTTTATATAAATAAATTACAATCTAATGAATATCTTAACTTATTATACAAGAACTTTGTAATATAATCTTAGATTATCTAAAGGTCATTGCATGGAAATCTACAGGTAAAAGTATCGAAAAAGTTCATCGATATTTCAACTACTACTATAAAACGAATTATAAATATAAAATATATTTTAAGTTAATATCTCGAGTTAAAATATATTAAATTCACTTAATTTACTCTCAAATATTTCTCTAACGCTATTAAACCCGACACGATTCAAAATCAGAGTACGAGAAGATATACTACGATAGTTTTAATTGGAAACATCCTGTTCAAATTTTCCAAGAATTTATACACTCGAAATACCATCAAGATCTATACACGAAAATTATTATTTACATATTTCTCGCGACCAAAATCCTAATTTCATATATATATCATCCTCAAATGAAAATTTCTAAAATATCATTAAACAGCTATAAAAAATAAAGAAGAGCTGTAAGATTAACTTCATCGATTTATAGGAACAGTAAGCGTAAAATTTGCTCCTTTGTACCAGATTCTAAAATATTTCCAACTTTTTACGACACCTCAAATTAATTCATTTAAATTAACAACTGTCAATAAAAATTGTCTTTAATCCAAATAGATGTTCGATTGAAGAATCTCTTCGGTTAAGAAGATAACTTTTTCTTCGAATTATCAAGTTCATATTGGAAACTAGCGATTCGAAATTTTTAGCAGCGTAGAAATGAAACACGTCAAAGGCGTCGTCGCGAACGGCACGAATAAGAGGATTTCCCGACAGAAGTAGCAAAGTATTTTTCCACTCACCTATCTCCTGATTCGTGATCCTGCCGTTGCACAGCGTACAACCACCGAGGACGAGAAGCAGTGACAGCAGAGTGTGAACGGAGGCGGCCATCTCATCCAGGAGCATCTCGACGCCTCGACGTCACGTCACGTCACGTCACGTCACTCGTAATCACGTCAACGACACACGTTCCTACCCCTCTCTATTCCTCTTTCTCCCGCACACTTTCTCCCCCGTTTCTCTTCTTTTCAACGACGTTCTTCCCGTTTTCTCCTTCAGCACAAACACACACAGCCTGCGTTGTGTTCTCGCCCTTCCTCTCCTCCTTCCTCCAAACCTCCTTCCTTCTCGCGCCACCCTCTCTCCAAGCCACTTCCTGCGATTCTCGCCCGCCGATTCCCGCCACCCTCTGTCCCGCCTCCTCGACAACCCTGCTGCGAAGGGACACACGCAATCCCCCTTCCCACCTCCTCTTCCGTGCGGTCCCACGTTGCTCGTTCCCGCCACCGTCACCTTGCAACGAAAGAAAATCGGTTAGATAGATGGATAGGTAGATAGATAGGTAGAGAGATAAGGGAAGACGAACGAGAGAGACTAGAATGATGACCAATCGAATTGAACGAATGCGATTGAACTAACGAAATTCAATTGATTAATGTGTCGTGAACCGTATGGAATTGAGTACAAAGATGTGGCTATGCCATTCACGTCTATTGCCTTCTAGCATCTAGATCAGAAAAGTCATCGTATAGGTCAGATGATGCAAATTAAGTTGTGTTGTAAAATTAATTGGTTTAATTGTAAAATTAAAAAGTTGTAAAATTATTTGTGTTGGAAATTCAATTTTCAATGAAACGAAATTATTATATGAGCCATCGTATAGGTTAGATGATGCAAATTAAGTTGTGTTGTAAAATTAATTGGTTTAATTGTAAAATTAAAAAGTTGTAAAATTATTTGTGTTGGAAATTCAATTTTCAATGAAACGAAATTATTATATGATTAAGTAAGACAGAATGGATTGTGTGTGGAATATATTGGAGGGATAAATCAATCCTTGAGATTTCGATGTTTTCCTTTCCTTTTCTTTTTTTTTTTTTTTTTGAAATGTAACTTTATTATATAACGGAGCGAGATAAAGTGAAATTTGATGTTATAAAATTTCAGTTCGGGTTTTAGTACTTTCTTTTTTTTATCGCTCTGTTGTAAAAAAAAATATTCCCAGGCAAAATTGTATTCAAAACACGAAAAAATACCGAAACTCTGAAGTTTGATCTCAGTTCTTCAAAGAGATTTTCCACTGAAAAAAAATTGCTCTATGTACATACAACTCATTCTGTTGACTATACATTTTTTTCTTTTTTTTTTTTTTTTTGCAATGTCTTTTGACGATATTTTTGCGGATTTTTGAATTATTCCCTTTGTACCTTTCAAAACTATTGATTCGTGAAATTGTCTTATCGCTTTTGCAATATTATTGCTTTTTTTATTTTAATCTGTGATTGAATGATTGATTTTAAAAAAAAAGAAAAATTAAATTAAAGAATATATTAACGGAAAATTAGATTTTTGGGAAATATTAAATCAAGGATTTAAATTCGGAGAATATTAAATTTTAGCATTGAGGAGATGTGGGAGAACGTTATTACTGATTGAATTTAAATTCTATTTGAATCGATTAAAGTGAATTTAATTTGATTTCACCCGCTATTATGACTATTTCATCGATTATTAAATAGGACAATAGGATTGGGTTACTGCAAAAATTTCTCCGTCGATTCGTATTAAACGGGAACTCGTGACTTTCGTAAGAGAAAAATGTAAAAAAACATTCTATACAAGAAAAATATAAAACGGGAGAACGATTTCAAACAGATACCAATACTGATTAATATTTCGGAAGGAAGAGACAGAAATCTCCAATGGAAATTTATTCTCACTTTGAACACGAAATATTTTTTTTCTTTTTAAATTCTTTTTATACCTCTTTCTCTAATTAATTATTATTTTTTCTTTTTTTTTTTTTTTAAAGATGAAACTTCAGAAAAGAAGAAGTATTTTCTTACACGTTTCTAAAATTAAAATTATCCTCAATAGTGACAAGTATTAATTAATTGAAATTCTGCACTACTGTTTAAAAGAAAATTACTCGACTCACGTTCTTCGCTCAAGAACAGAAAAATTAAAGGGAGGGCCGATACATTAAAGTCCAGTTCGAAACGCATTGGATCCTCGTCCAAGAAATGAATGCCGTTTCTTCGATGGAAATTCCGCGATTGCGGATAATGAGAAGGGGAATTTTTCGTCCGGGATTAAAACTCGATTGATCAACGAGTGAGCGAGATTACTTTGTGCGTTAACGATTCGTGAATATACAGAATGTACACGGGGTAGAAATTAAAGGGTAGAAAAATGAAACACGTCGTCCAAAAAGCGCACAAAAGCATTACTGGCGTGTACTAATTAGTAATTTAAATAAAAAAAAAAAAAAATAAAATAAAAAAAAAAGAAACGAAAGTTCGTCAGATATTGGCGAAGCTTATCGATCCATTCGAAATTCAACGCGAGGCTCCGACCTTTTTAAATCAAAGTCTTAAACGAACCATCGGTACCATCAGTTCAAACATCGAATCTTCCGGAGAAAACGATTCTCTGGTCACGATTCGAGTTTGATTTAACGAAGAATTTTTTTCTCCGCCCCTATAATACAAAGCACCTTCGTTCAAAAGAAACTCAACGTGTAATTAACGTGTTTACTTAACATAAATCATTTCTTCCTATAAAAGAATAAATTATTAACTCTCTCTCTCTCTCTCTCTAAAATATTTATTTCATATACTGCAACGATAAAATCCTTCGCAACAAATATTTTCTCGTTCAACGAAAATACATCCCCAACACATTTTCCATCCCTATTCAACTCTTAATGAACGCCTCTCTGGTTCCAGATAGCGCGATTGATAGAAGAGCCGGGTTAAAAACTCGTTATCGCGAGATTCGCATCACGCATCGGCCTTCATTCGACGGGTGGCGAAATATCAGCCGCATATTGACAACGGATAGCTTGAAAACGTTAACACGTGAAATTTCACTCGATCGCGCCACAATTCGTGCCCACCAATCCCATCCACCCCGATGGCGCCATCTTTCGCCCTTTTCACACGTTCTTCCCCCTCCCTCTCTCGACAGACGTCTCTCCCTCGCACGAATCCCATTCTGCTGATTTTCCTTTCTCGCGCGTGCAAGGGCTCGTATTCAAGTTCCAGCAGCGATTGCACGCCCATTGCAGTCTGCCGCTGCTACGAGACGATAGACCTGTCCTTTTTTCTTTTTTTTTTTCCCCCACTCCCTCTTTCAACTCCTCTCTATCCCGGCTTCAACCCCCTATGTGACGCTTGCTGACGTTATGCATTCGTTGTAATCGCGTCCTGGTTTTTCGCCAGTCCGCTTTTTCGAAAAATGGTTGCGTCGTTGAATGGTATTTCTTTTTTTTTTTTTTTTTTTTCTTTTTTTTTTTTCACATTCAACGCTTTCGGATCCCTTGGATCGTCGGTTTACGTCGCGCGTACGAGGCTGCCAGGGAAATTCGGCTTGGAAGAGTTTAGGGTGTAGTTAGAGCGCGGAACGATACTAAGCTTGGAAAAGTGTCAAGAGGCGCTTTCCCCTCGGATATTTTGGGAATATTGAAATTTAAAAAACGAAAAACGCTGAGCTTTTTTTCTTTTTTTCACGGAGCGGTTTGACAATCTTTCTCTCCCTTTCGTTCTTTAAATGTATTTTTTTGAAAGATCTCTTGTGAATTATATAATTTCATTGTTCTTGTGTATCTCTCACCGTATAACACGCAGCTAGAACTCGTTCCGTTCAAAATATCTATCTACAAAATATTTCTATCTGTGTCTGCCATCTAATCAAACATTTTTCTAAAAAAGGAAATCTAACTTTTCCTAATAAAAAAACCACCCCTATTTCACCTACACTCAAGAGTTCCTTCCTACTTTATCATTTCCAATTATCCTATTATTATTATCATAAAAATGAAATTCAAAACTCGCCTCGGATAAATCCACCCCCCTTGTCTCGCAAAATCAAAGATTAAAACGAGAAACCGGCATGCCTCGAAAGGAAAGAACAAAATTCCAAGGATTCTTAACAGAGGTCACGAGGTGGATGGGGCGAGGAAACGTCATAATGCGCGGAATGTAATGGAGCGGGGCAGGGGAGAGTTGAGGGGAGGGGAGGGTGGATTTCGAGATTTCCATGTAAATGCATCGACGCGCGTGCAACTATTCGGCGGTCAGCTCGAGGGGAGCTTGAGATTGGACCTTAACGATCCTCTCTTCACCCGATCCTCCCCTATAAGCGCAATAAGAGGCGTCGAAAGGGGATGGTTTCGGTCGACAATGGGTCGAATTCGATTGCGCCAGATATGCACTCCGCCGAATGCAACGTCAGTTGCATTCGAAGAGGACGGGGGAGAGGGAAAAAAGACAGGAAGCGGCCGCGTCTCCATCTTTTGTGACGTTCGTCTCGCTCACGCCCGCGTCCACGCTCTCCTCTCGCGTCCTTTATGAATATTCTTGGAATTTTAATGCGCTTCCCCGACAACGATCCTCATTCACGAATTCGGGCCAACCCCGTCGTCGTCATCCCGAGCACCAGTCGTTGTCGACGACGACGTTTCCGCGAGCCTTGGCACGCCAACAGTGCACGCAGAACGTGCCTCAAATTCGCCGAATCGTTGGCCGAATATTAAAAGGGATGTAAATGAATCGCGTGAGAAAGACGAGGATTCTTATTCTATTAACGATTTGTATGCGATTTATTTTACCGGCGATTGTGTAAATGAGCCTGCAAGGGTAAGTGATTGCGCAGATTGCGTAGATTGATAGATGAACGAAAATTGGGAAATTGAGAATTTGAGAATTTCGAAAGAACAACGATTCTTCCCGCGATGCAACATGTGACGTCGTTATTGTTGTCATAATATTAATAATTTAAATATTTTTTTGATATTTTTTACATTTCGATTAATTGTAGAAAATAATTTGGATGAAAATTATACACCAATTTTCTATATCATCTAATAATTTTTATCTGAATATTAATAATATGAACATAATATAACATAATATAATAATATGAAGATAATAATAATATGAACATATTATAGGCTCGAATTGTTACGTCTTGAAAAGAAGAAAATAAAATTTACCAATCGACGCGTGTAATAAATTGAAATCACACATAATGAAATACACGTGAGAAATCACGGAAGACCCATTCATCCCTTTCTGATCTGAAACGCAAACCTGTGCAAATCACCGGGTTTCAACGGCATATAGGACTGCACCGACAAACGACCGTGTCCTTCGAAGGGATCC